CACTTTTTTTCGAATAAAGTTTTCAAAAACACTTCATACACTCTTGAGGACAGAAGCAAGAGTTAAATCGAAGTTTTCAAAACAAAAACTTTTTTCAAACCCACAAGCACAAAGAAAGCAATATTTTGAAAACATTTAAGCAAGTACCTAAGAGCCCGTGGATAATCACGGATAGAAAGGGTGCTAACACCTTCCCTTTCTATAATCTACCCCCCGAACCCGAGAATTATCTCAAAAAATGAATTTTTCTGTGCTTTTTTCCTTTCCTTGTTGGATAAAATAAAAGTCGGTGGCGACTCTTGCTTACCGCGACATTTTGCAAACACAAACACAAAACGCAAACCAGCATTCCAAAAAACAGTCAGTTCTTCCCACCGTATCACACTTTCTTTATTGGATAAAAGAAAAGTTGTTGATGACTCTTGCTATCCACAACATTTGCAATAAAGCACAAAACAAGTCAGTTCTCCCACCGTATTACACTTACAATTAGTTACACTAACATAAACATAACATAACCCTTAAATAACATTCAAGGCCATACATTACATGCATACGAGTACTTAAATAACAAACGATGTGAACATGTGACCACAATTATACACCTGCAATCGATGAACCTGCTCCACAAATCCAAACCGTTACCACAATTACGCACCTGTAATCGATGTTCAAACACAGATTCATTTAATACTCGACACAATTCAAGTGATTTAAAACAACAACAATAACAACACACAACAGATCAAACACACATGTAACAAAATAATAAATAACTTTCATCAGCTCGTAGTGAACTCACAAATTCTAGAGTAGTAGGCTGCAAAATTTAAAAACCAACTTAGACACATTAGTAATATAAACTACTTATAGTTTAAGAGAACAATCAAGCATGTATCAATTCATTATAACTTTCTTTGAATATTTATCAGCATCAATCATCTCAACATCCTTAGTCTATTTCAGCACGAGTAAATTATTATTATAGAAAACAAAAACAATAAAAAAAAAACATCCTTAGCCTCTATAGTACCTCATTCAACGTTCTATGTAACTCATCTATGGCCTCAACAAGTCTATCTATGTCATTGAAATCAACAAAAAAAAGTTAGGGATCAAGGTTTATCAATTTCATCTATATAAATTGAAAGGGAAAAAAACCATACCTAAATAATCTCCTTTCTCTACCATTTTCCAACTTCGCCAAAGTCACTAACAAACAATCGTTTTATTCACCTAAATTTTTTTGATCCGATTCAGTTTTATGCGCATATTCTCCCTTCTACGGTTAAGTTTTTTTTTACCAAACCTGAAACAACAAACACTAAATCAGAAGAAATCAGAAAAATAGATAAACCCTAAAATCATAATCCAACTTATTTGCACACCGTAAACTGATTTGCACACCATTCTTGTTTCGGTGTGATACAAATATACCAAAAGAGAGAGAAGGGGATGGTGATGATGTTGTTACATAATGAATGTTGAGGAAGAGGAAGAAGAAGAAGAGAAAGAAGGTTGACGAAGAGGAAGAAGAAGGACCTTTGTTCCATAATTGACATAGAAGAGAGAGAGAGAGAGAGAGAGAGAGAGAGAGAGAGAGAGAGAGAGAGAGAGAGAGAGAGAGAGAGAGAGAGAGAGAGAGAGAGAGAGATTCTATTTTTTTTGAAATTTGAATTAAAATAGACATTAAAAAAAGAGAAAATAAAAAAAGAAATTTAATTTGAACAAAGTGACAACGTCAACCTATTCTAACCTAATGATCAAAAACAAAAAATAACAACTATATAATTGAAATAGAATTATATAATATAATTAGTTAGAAAAAGAGACAAGGATAAAAAAATATTTTCCAAAACTTTAAATTTACTTATATGATAGATTTATTAATAATAATCCAATAAAATATATCCGTGCATTTCATATACATACGTCTAGTTTTTTACAAAATAACAAGAGGAGATAATACCACTCAAATTTGGCGCGAAAATCAGTACTAGTAGTGAGGTCATGTATTTTCATTTTAGGGATTTTTCCATTTCCAAAACAAAATCCAAAGCATGGATTCAACACCTTCCGCAAAACGACGTCGTCAGAGCAAAGACGACGAGACTGAAGCAGCATCAACGCTGCCAAAGCAAATGTCTCCGGTGGTTATCTTCGCTCACGGTGCCGGTGCTCCTTCCTCTTCCGATTGGATGCAAAGGTTTTTCCATTTTCCATTTCCTTTACTTGTTTTCAAATTACTGATGAAATGTTTTGAACCCCGTTATAGGGTTTTTTGTTTTTGTGAAAATTGATAAAAACTGATCTCACTATGTTTTTATGATAGGTGGAAGAGTATGTTGATGGAAACCCTACACGCTGCTGATGTTGTCACGTTCGATTACCCTTGTGAGTTTGTTTCCAGTTAGATTCATTGCATTGCATTGATTTAACATTCTTCAACGCTTTTAAACTTAAAAGTTAGTTGCTTTTCATTATCTAGATTTAGGGTTTAGTGGTTGTATATGGTTCGTCTTGGTTAGAACTATTTATAGCATGTTTGGATTGGCTTTTGGAAGACCCAAAATCGATTCCGGATGATTTTGAGGTGTTTGTTTTATCAAAACTAGAATTGATTCTGCCTCCAGAATTGATTTTGGGTGATTTTTACACTGAAATTTATTGTTCAACTCACTTTTACATTAATATATCCAAACATAAATCAATTCTGCTAAACTCAATTATGTTAAAATCAATTCTACCAAACATAATTTGGTAGAATCAATTCTGTTCACCGACAATCCAAACACACCCTTAAACCTGTTGAACCATGATTTGTAGGTTTCAGTGGTGAAATCTTTAGTTTAGTTTTTAAAAACATTGATTTGTTTGATATGTATTTTTTAACTTCCTAATATGAATCCGATGGGTTTGCCATTTTCCAGACATGTCTGGTGGGAAAAAGAGGGCTCCTCCAAAGGCAGAAAAGTTGGTGGAGTTTCATTCAGGTATTGTGAAAGAAACGGCAACTAAATACCCTGGTCATCCTCTCATACTGGCTGGCAAATCAATGGGTTCAAGGTGCGTTCTTCTTCTTTTTAAACTTTAATTTGGACATTTATGTTTTGCATGAGGAAGTCCTAATAAAGATGATTAGTAGCAAGATATCTATGACATGCTTACCTTGTATTTATTTTATTGTAGAGTTGGATGCATGGTGGCGAGCATGGAAGACATCAATGTTTCTGCTGTTTTGTGCTTGGGCTACCCATTAAAGGTTTGATTCTTTTGATAATTTCATGATAATCTTTGTGCTACTAAGTAAACTTATTGAGAATGTTTTTTTAGCCCCTTTTAATTACTGAAGAAATTTTAAAACATTTGCTTATATTTTTGAGTGTAGTGCACCATTTGTGATTTTGTTAAAAATTCAAAATCCACTCTGTTTATTTATCAAAGCAATGTAATTTGAACCTTTTGCCCGGCATGCTTCAACCTTTGGATCGGCTATTAAACTATCATCGGTTAGTCACACTTGAAACATTTTGCCCATTGAGATTATGTCATGTGAAAATCGAATCTTGATCTTCTCTGTTACTAGCTTTGGATAGAGCGTGTCACCAACTGAGCCACACATTAGATTTCATCATCTGCTTTATCCCCAGTTTATAATTAAAGCTTACTCATTAATCTCGATTTTTTTTGAATTGTCGTGCTTTTCTCTAGCATTTTACTTCATAGGTAATGTTTGGCCTTATGCTAGCCATCTTAGTTTGCCAACTCAGATTGATGAAGTTTTCATCCTTGGATCATGTGTGTGGAGCTCTAAAATCTGTACTAGGCTACTACTTTGAATATTTTCTTTTCATTTGTTCATGGATTGAACCATCATCTGCACTTGTGATCCTTTTAGTTTTCCGTTGAGAAATTGTTGGCATGCCACACTAAAGCAATTATGGTTGATGCATTGCTTTTCTTAGGGTATTTTGGTAAACTGAGGCCGTCATTTTATTACTTAAGGTCAAAATTTTAAATAATATAACAAAAAGTTACATCAATTTTGTTGCCATTGTTCCAGGGAATTAATGGTGCGGTTAGAGATGAAACACTGTTACAGCTAACAGTTCCTACAATGTTTGTACAGGTAGTTCTCGACTCCCTTTCTAAATAGTCATTGCAGTATGGTATTGTCCTGTTGTCATAGCTCTTCTTTTCCATACACTTTTAGTCTTATGGGTAAAGCGTGAATCTTTTTCAATTTCTATCAGTATGTTATTCTGTTGCACGCATGAATTTCTATCAGTATCAGTATGTCTCCTAACACTAGTCTTTTGTCTGTTTTGAGCAGGGCAGCAAGGATAGTCTCTGTCCACTTGATAAGTTAGAGACCACGCGGAAGAAGATGAAAGCGCCTACTGAGCTGCATGTCATTGATGGTGGCGATCACTCTTTTAAGATTGGTAAGAAGCATCTACAAGCAAACAGTTCCACCCAGACTGATGCTGAAGTTGCTGCTATGAAGGCCGTTGCTGCTTTCATTTCCAGATTCCTTGAAGGTTGATTCTACAGTGTAGCAAGGTTTGTGTTATTGTATATACACTCTGCTGTATCTAGATTTGCAGTTATCTAGGTCTTGTTCTTGCAAGTGGGCTGTAATTTTATTTTGGGTGATTTGGTCAAGTAATTTTTGCTAGCGGAGTAGACATGTATGAATTTTTTGTTCTGGCAGTTTTAGAAACCTACTTGGTGAGAATGGGTTTGTTTAACTTAATGCAGTTTTACATATTAATGTTAGACTTGGTAACAAAGGCATGTAAGATCCTCATGGAACATTCCAGTGAAAATAGGCAAAGTTCAATATCTATTATTTATCACAAGGTACACACAGACAAGTGAAATATGGGCATTTATTTACCCCTATTATTGAGTACAAGAATGACATGATAAAATTATAAATACACTTTATTTAAAAGCTTTGTTTAGTTGCATCCGTTTGCAGCTCTTAGTTCTGTGCATCAATTCTGCATATGTAATGAAAAACAGATAAATTAATAAAACAAATTAAATCTTGTTCTAATCCAACATGTGTGCATTTAATGTAAATTTTTTTGGGATTCATATTATTATTTGGATGAGCTTGAGTTTTGAGAACTCTTGTTTATTTAAGTGCACCTACCTTTGGCTTTGGACATTTCTTCTCATCTTCAAGTGCACCTACCTTTGGCTTTGTCATCGGACATTTCTTCTCATTGTCAGTTGCACCCACCTTTGTCTTTGTCTTTGAACTTTTCTTCTCATCATCGCTTTCGCTGTCACTGCTGCTGCTGCTGTTTCCTTCACCGTTATGGCGGGACATTCCATTCTTAATCCTCCGGAACAAATTGATATCTTTCTTATTGTTGAGCTCTCTGTTTTTCTTAGGAGTTCCAAAGCATGTTGTAGTTGCACCATAAGGAGAAGGACCCTCTTTGGTTTCAGTGATTTCTGCTTGAACTACACAAACTGTGATATGGGTTTTGGTGACACCATGCTTCTTGTCATGTTGGGTCTGAGTATGACCATACTGGTGAGTTTCTGTTTTGGTGCCATTGTGGCCATTTGATTCAACCTGACTTTGGGAGCTGTAGCTTTGGACTTGATTTTGAGTACTGCCATGGCGAGCATGATGTCCTTTGAAAGCTTTGTTAGTTATCTCAGATATTTTTTGGCCGAACGAGCTGTGTTGGGTTTTCGGTTGGCAGGCTTCAATGGCAGTAGAGGGTTTCACAGACTGAGCTGAAGCCATTGTTGTTTACTCACTCTGATTTGTTTCTTTGATGTTGCTGGGTAATTGCGCATTAAGGGCCTTTTATTGGCCTAAGAATGAGTGAAGCTTTCTCTCCTCCTCCCATAGTGGAGAAATAAAATAACTATTCAATTATGCTATTGGAAATATGGCCTCAATAAAAGAAGTATTATCATTTATCAACCCAATATAAAACAGAATTTATTCTCTGGGTCTTTCAAAAAGTATTCACTGATAAATTATGTGAAAGAACCTAATAATTTCATGGAATTAGTATCGCAGATCGTGGATACATGAATAAATTCCCTCACAATTTTTGGTCTAAGATTTTTGTTAATTATTATTTTTGAAAACAAAAGCTAATATGCCATTTTTGCTTTTGAGTAAACTCATGGTAGTCAAAATTGCGATCCCACTTGTAGGATCGTACGAATTTACGATCTCGATAGAGTTTGGCAATCATGTGAAGGCAAAAACTTGGATTTAGGTGGGAACGGTGGGATTGCAGTGCAAAAACGGTTGGAGCGATAGGATTGGTGTTCCTGCCGTTTCAGTTCTAAAACTTTTGAAATAGGTTTTTTTTGCTTAACCTATGTAGCTTTTATTTCTCATACTTAATTCCAATTAAATTCTAATTAATTTTTAAAACTTTCCCAATACACATTATTTTTTTGAAACATTAATTCTATGAACCACCTAGTATTTCATATTCCTCTCACGATACTTTTAAATTTTTGAAGTTTAAATATACCTGTTTCACTCTTTTTTAACTGTTTCCCTTTAGTTTCGGTGTGGTTTGAATTTTTTTACTAAATTATGTTTTTTATATGAATATATCTGCAATATATATCGGTTTGTTAAATTGGTAGGATCTTATAATCCGTGTTACGATACTCCGATTCATGATCTTGTGGCCCCTCTCCAATCCCGTATAGGATCTCAACTTTGACTACCTTGAGTAAACTAATCTAACTCATATCACAATTGAGTAAACCAATTGTCTCATTAAAATCCATATTAGAGAAAAATTGTTTAAGTATAAGATTTTAGTTGATCTAGATGATGTTTTCTTTCTGTTATGTGTAGTGGGTTGGTAGAGTCAGTTTCTCATTTGTTTATAACTTCTGAGGTGTCTTCAACTGTGTGGTATGATATTTTTAAGTGGTTGGGGGTTGTTATTGGTTCTTCCTAGAGATTTTAGACTTCTTTTTGAGTATTTATCTCCCCGGGAGGTAGGTCTAGGGTTAGGGGTGAACTTGACATGATCTGACATTCTGTTGTCTTGTTGATTTAGAAATTATGGAATGATATTATTTTTTCTGGTTCATCAACTAATGTGAAGGATTTGGAATAAAATAATATTTTCCTTGTTTGGAAACAATATGTTGGCAGGTATGTGATCAACTCTTGTGCTTTCTCTGTTTGACTTGAGAACTTTATCTTTTGTCTGAATCAATAGCGATTTAAGAGTCTTTGACTTTGCTCTTATGGTGGAGTGTTTTTGATATTTCTTCTAGAGAACTCTCTTTATGTTGAGATCTACCATGTGCTCTCCCCAGTAGAGGTGGAGTTTTATTGCTTTGCTTTCTTCTCTTTTCTGTTGCTTGATTATTGAATGGTTTACTTTCTTCCCTTTTCTGTTGCTTGATTATTTATTGGATGATTTATCTCATGTATTTGTATTTGAGGTTTTTTCATTGTCTGTTTGATTGCTTCTTTTACTCTTTTTCTATTACCAATAAGGTTTAGATGAAAATATTTCAGAGACATGAGAGCCATTGCTTATAATATATAGACTAAAGGAAAAGATTAATAAAGCAAGAACCGATTTTAACCAACAGTTTTATTCTTATTCTTATATATAATAATAGGCGCTTTGTGTTGGAAATCCACCAATACTCTATGATGAATTTCGACCACCACTGATGATTAGTTATGAGACAAACAAAGAAAAGACAATAGAGATATTTCTGCAGAGTTTCTCTCTGCCCACAAACTGTGAAAATTTTATTATTCACTTTGCAACTGCAAAATACTGTGAATGACTTAATTACAAAATAGGGGTTACTCCCTCTATTTATAGATTTAGGTTAGCTTGCTCCCTAAGCTAAAACCCAAACCCAAAATATCTTTTTACTAAATCAAATCAAATCAAATCAATTCTATACTTAAATTCAAATCTATTTAAATCTAAAACAAAATCAAATCTAATTTTGACACATATGAATTACAATTTAACACACCACCTAATTCATTGTGTCTAAACTGTCTATGTTCATCATGGCTCTTAGCTTTCTGAATACTTCGACTTGCACTCCCTTCGTCATGATGTCTGCAATCTGATTCTCAGTTCTGTAGTGTTCCAAATTCATCTTCCCATCTACTACCTGCTCTCGAAGATAATGGAACCTCATTTCGACGTGCTTACTTCGACCATGTGCTATTGGGTTCTTCGCCAGATTAATAGCTGACATGTTATCTATCTTCATGGTAATTGCTCCATGATTTTTCCCTGTTATCTCTTCGACCAAGCTCATCATCCAAGTTGCTTGACATGCACAAAGAGAAGCAGCTATGTATTCTGCTTCACATGATGATAATGCCACTACTGGTTCCTTTTTTGAATTCCAAGCAATTGGTGCACCACCTAGCATAAACACATATCCTGCTGTTGATTTTTGATCTTCAGCATCACTACACCAACTCGAATCAGTGTATCCCACTAACTTGCATTCTTTTCCTTTATCAACTGCAGGAAACAAAATGCCATAATCAAAAGTTCCTTTGAGATACCTTAGTATCCTCTTCACTGCTGCTAGATGTGATACCTTTGGCTTCTGCATGAATCTACTTACCATACCTACACTGTATGCTAAGTCAGACCTTGTATGACAAAGGTATCTCAATGATCCAATAAGTCTTCTGTATTGGGTTGGATCAACATTATCTTCATCTGCATCTTTCGACAGTTGCAGTCTTGGTTCTGCAGGTGTCGAAGTTGAGTTGCATTCTTCCATCTCAAACCTCTTGAGAATTTCTCCTGCATATCTTCTTTGATGCATCATCAAACCTCTACTGCTCTTGTAGAATTCGATACCAAGGAAATATGAAATCCTACCCAAATCAGACATTTTGAATTCCTTGCTGAGATCACCTTTGAAGTCTTCGATCTCACTCTTGCAGCTACCTGTTATCAACAAATCATCTACATAGAGACATAGTATAAGCAATTTACTCTTGCTTCTTCTTACATATACTCCATGTTCAGTTATGCACTTCACAAATTCCTTCTCCCTTAGAAAACTATCAATTTTCTTATTCCAAGCCCTTAGAGCTTATTTTAATCCATACAAGGCTTTATGTAGCCTGTACACCTTTCTTTCTTCGTCATGTTTCACAAACCCAACTGGTTGTTTAACATAGACTTCTTCATCTAAGGGTCCATTTAGGAATGCACACTTCACGTCCATCTGATATATGTGCCAACTGTTGATTTCTGCTAGACCAACAACCAGCCTGATTGTTTCGATCCTAGCAACAGGTGCAAAGACTTCGTCGAAGTCTATTCCTTCTTTCTGTAGAAATCCTTTCGCCACAAGTCTTGCTTTGTGTCGAGTTACTTCACCTTTCGAATTCGTCTTCACTTTGTATACCCACTTGACATCAATTGCCTTCTTGCCTTGAGGCAATTCGACAAGTGACCAAGTGTTGTTGTCTTCGATGGACTTTACTTCTTCGTTCATTGCTTTCACCCACTTCGAATCTTTTAATGCTTCAGCTGCATTAACAGGTTCGACATCTGCATAGAAAGCATAATGTACCAGCCCACCTTCATCATCTATTACATCATCTGATGTAATCACACAATCTTGCAATCTTGCAGGCATGCGTCTTGTTCTTTGAGGCCTGCTTGTACTTGGTATATCTGCTGGTTCCTCTTGTCGAACTTCTCTTTCGACTTGAGTTTCTGGCTCTTCGAATAAGATTCCCACTGAATCTTTCTTGACATTTGCAGTCCAATCCCATTCTTTGAACTCATCTATGATCACGTCCCTGCTGATCACAATCTTCTTGTTCTCTGGATCGAACAACTTGTAGCCTCCTGTCGAATGATATCCAACTAGGATCATTTGACTTGACTTGTCATCACGTTTTTTTCTCAACTGATCTGGCACATGTCTATGTGCAATAGATCCAAATACCTTCAGATGACTTAAGCTAGGCTTCACACCAGACCAACATTCTTCTGGAGTAATTCCTTCTAGCTTCTTTGTAGGACATCTGTTCAAAATATACGTTGCAGTCGAAACGGCTTCACCCCAGAACTCTTTAGGTAAATTCTTGCCTTTCAACATACTTCTCACCATATTCATGATGGTTCGATTTTTCCTTTCTGCAATTCCATTTTGCTGTGGAGTATAGGGTGGCACCACCTCATGCACAATCCCTTTTTCACATAATCTGTCGAAGTCTTTCGACACATATTCTCCACCACCATCAGTTCTCAAAACTTTGAGCTTTTGACCACTTTGTCTTTCGACCATGGACTTAAACTTGGTAAATACTTCGATCACTTCACTTTTCTTGTTGATCAGGTAAGTCCATAGCTTTCGACTGAAATCATCTATGAATGTAACAAAGTATTTGTTACCTTCCATCGAATCCACCTGGATTGGTCCACATACATCAGAGTATATGACTTCGAGACTAGCCTTCGATCTGCTTCCTGCATCCTTGCTGAAGCTATTCTTGTGTTGCTTCGCCTGCACACATTATTCACATACTTCGCTTGGAATGTCAATTTCAGGCAATCCTGAAACCATATTTCTTCTCTTCAAATCTCTGATGTCTCTGAAGTTGAGATGACCTAGTCTATAATTCCATATCCATTCATCTCTGCTAGCTGCAGTCGAAAGGCACTTGTGCTCTATCACATTTAGTTCAATCTTGAAGGTTCGATTCTGAGACATAGGAGCCTTCAAGATTACTCTCCCATTTGCATCAACAACTCTTATCAACTTATCTTCGATTGACACTTTATAATTCTTTTCGACCAACTGCCCTATACTGAGCAAGTTGCTCTTCATGCCTGGTATGTACAATACATTCGAAATTACTGACTTCTTGCCATCTTTCCTCATGATCATAACATCACCAATACCTTCAGCTGCTAGGGTGTTGTCATTTGCAAATTTTACCATATTTTTCGTTGAGGGTTTTATATTGACGAACCAGTCTTTCCTTCCAGACATATGTGATGAACATCCTGAATCCAAGTACCATTGGTCCTTGAATCTATCTTCATCTTTTGTTGTGACCATCAACATCATCTCTTCTTCTTCTTCATGTTTTGCAAGCTTTGCATCACTTTCTTGATTCTTTCGTTTTTTTGGACAATCACTCGAATAGTGTCCATATTTCTGACAATTGTAACATTGAATGTGACTTTTATCAGGTTTTCAACCACCACCTCTTCCTCTGTTTGCAGCACCACCTCTTTGGTTGCCTTGGTGTGGTCCTCTTTGATTCGACACGTCTCCTTCGATTTGGTTTCCTCTACCATTCGATTTGTTGTAGCCACCTCTACTTCTGTCGAAATACTTTCCTTTGCCTTTGGTCTCTTTTGCTGAATGTGCCTGTAAGGCCACATCACTCTTCGATTTTCCTGCAGCTCTTTCGTTCATTCTTTGTTCATGAGATTCGAGCGTCCCTTGAAGCTCTTCCTTTGTCAATTTCGACAAGTCTTTCCCCTCTTCGATCGCCACCACTATGTGGTCGAACTTAGGAGCTAAAGATCTCAAGATCTTCGAAACAACAACTCTTGTTGTTAATGTTTCTCCACATGCCTTGATTTGATTCACTAGTTTTGTAACTCTAGTGAAGAAATCAGATATGTTTTCACTGTCTTCCATCTGAAGCAGTTCATAGGTCCTTTTGTGAGTTTGTAACCTCACTTCTTTCACCTTCTCAGCGCCTCCAAAAGACTTCTCAAGGATCTCCCAAGCTTCTTTTGCAGATTCTGAATCACTAATCTTTTCGAAATTGTCTGGGCTGACACATTGATGAATTATAAATAATGCTTTATAACTCTGCTTCTCAGATTCTGTATATTTCTTCTTTTCTTCTTCTGAAGCGTTTTCGCCAAGCGCTTCGACTCCATCTTTTACAAGGTCCCAAAGGCCTTGACACCTTAATAGGACTTTCATCTGTTTGCACCAATTCTCATAGTTGTCAACTTTCAGAATTGGCAGCGTTGCTGGATAGTTTGCATTCCCATAACTTGTCATCGTGAATTCTTCAATCGTTCTTGATTGACACTTCCCTTGAATCGAAACACAAGCTCTTGATACCAGATGTTGGAAATCCACCAATACTCTATGATGAATTTCGACCACCACTGATGATTAGTTATGAGACAAACAAAGAAAAAACAATAGAGATATTTCTGCAGAGTTTCTCTCTGCCCACAAACTGTGGAAATTTTATTATTCACTTTACAACTGCAAAATACTGTGAATGACTTAATTACAAAATAGGGGTTACTCCATCTATTTATAGATTTAGGTTAGCTTGCTCCCTAAGCTAAAACCCAAGCCCAAAATATCTTTTTACTAAATCAAATCTAATCAAATCTATTCTAGACTTAAATTCAAATCTATTTAAATCTAAAACAAAATCAAATCTAATTTTGACACATATGAATTACAATTTAACACTTTGATCTTATGTCGATCACAATACATAACATACAATTTTTTTTTGGTAACAAAATTTCATGAGGAATCAAATTGTGCCCAAAGTATATACATCAGAAAAATATATACCATAAACGTTCAAATTATTGAAAATTAAAGACATAAATTTCATCTTCAAAATTTTGCATCGATAATAACACTTTGCGTAAGACTTAGAAAATAAATTATTATGTCTCGAATTTTCTGTTGCTAATAATATATACTTGCCTTCCTGTGGCGACGGTTCTCATTGTCGCTGTGACACTCATCACTGCCACTGTCACTGCTGTGACCTGATATGCCATCCTTGATCCTCTGGAACATGTTTCTCCTCTTTCCTGTTTCTTCCTTGGCATTTTGCTGCAGTGGTGCCAGTAGCAGTGTGATTGTGACGTGTTCCGTTGCATGTGTTACTTTGATTTTTGACAACATATCCTGGTTGATAAATCACATCTGTCTCACTATAGTATTGTGTTTTGGTTTGTGTTCCATCATTGTGGTGTCCGTTGTACAAGTCGGTCACCTTTTGTCCAATTGAGCTATGTTGCTGCTGCTGGTTGTGATTTTTGTGTTGGCTATAGTATTGTGTTATCATTGTGGTGTCCTTTGTAGAAGTCAGTTACCTTCTGTCCGATTGAGCTATGTTGTTGCTGATGGTTGTGGCTTTTCTGTTGGCAGCTTTGTTCACATGTTTTGTAGCACCGAGCAGAGGCCATTGCAACAAAATGTACGGATGAATATGTGTCGGTTTGGGTTGAATTTAGCCAAAATCATTATCCATTCATATAGGATATACTGGTTTGAATGCGGTAAAATAACCACCCACTAAATCATTGGGTCAGTTTGGATAAAATCATAAATTTGTGAGTTGGATAGTGGATTACTCAAATTATTTTTCTTCCTTCTTTATATATTATAAATAATATATCACATTTTTTTCTTAAGAAATAGATTAACCTATTGCCACTATTTTTTAAAACGTAAAAAATTCTAAATGTACAATAAAATTCATAATAAATATATTTGCAAAAATCTAAGTTTTATTACAGTAATATCTATAATTGCATAAAATATTTACACCTTATAAAAATTAGCATCATAATAATCAAAATAAGACATTCTAAATATGTTAAAATCATTATTTATAAAATAAAAGATGTTCAAAATATTGTATTTGAAGTAACTAAGATCAAAGACATTAAAGTTAGCACTCATAAAATTATAAAAAGTAGTTAAAAAATAGTCACTCAATAATCTATGAATTTTGTGGGTTGGGTGTGAGTTTACCCATAATTCAATGAATTTACATTTTTGAAAACCGTGTTTATCCAATGATCCGCTCAAACCCATTTCTTTGGATCGAGTTGGATGGGTTTTATTGGATTTGTTGGATTTACCTGATCCATAGACACCCCTAACAAAATGTGTGTTGTGTAATGCTTGGTTTTCTTGTGATGTTTGTCTGCTTGTGTTCTGAGAATGTGTTCACACATATATATATATATATATATATATATATATATATATATATATATATATATATATATATATAGGTGTAGTAGTAAGGCATTGATTGATTAGCTGTTACATGATATACATCAATCAATAAACTTGGAATCTATCTCTTTTCTTAGTGGGCCGAATAATATGGTATGTTATGGTATTTTTATTTTACTTTGTTTTTTTAAGACATTATGTATTTTATTGTACAGTATCACTTAAAAAAAAAAAAACTTTTCTCACTGAATATATACCAAATTATTTTTGTTAAGAAACTTTAAATAATAGAGATTTCTTAATACACCTTCAAATTTTTTAGTGTAATATGCAAATTTTTAGAAATATCTTTAAATATCATAAATATATTTTCAGAATGCATCTTACATACATATAATTATTCGTTTTTAAGTTACATTCCATTTTATAATAAATTTTATTTTAAAAATATATTTTTGAAAATTTCTGAAAATACATTTCCGATTCCAATTTTCAAGTCTTTGAAAAACATGACTATAACTTCTTTGTTCTCGTCACAAGTCAAATAGTATCAAATTTTGTTCTATTATTTCTTCAGCATGCTTAATTTAAATCAATCTTATTTTTAAATAATATTTTAAAATGAGTGTCAAAATTACATAATTAATTTATTTAAAATGTAGTTTTCTTATTGTTAAACTAAACACATGTTTAATATTTATACAAAAGTATTTATTAAACCAAACACATATTAAACTACTTTTAATTAAACAAATATATTATACGAGGGATCTATCTACAACATAAGAAAGCTTACTAATTTTCTCTTCCATCCTCTGCATCCTACGTGTGGATAGGCTGAGAACTCAGTAAATTTTTGACAAAATTAAATGCAAATGATTTAATTCCGTTGTCACATGTTCATCGGCAGTTACATGATTAGGTTTGTTTCAATTTTGTTCCATTCCATCATGATTCTCTGTGGCGGTTACTTTCTCCTTTTCACTCTCTTTCCACTTCTCACCGTTCTATTACTGATCCATGATTGCAACAGTTACTTTCAACATAACAGCGTTTTTGATTTCAACCGCCCCACTCTCCATCATGATTCCACTATTTATAACCTCCATACCGACTGTTTCTTCCAACACTTCGTCTCTCAGAAATACTCGACTTCTAAGTTATTTCAGCTTCACGCAAGCGACTATGTTCATGGCTAGACCTGTGGCGAATATATGCGACATTGATGATAACAAAGAGCTGTGGAAGGTATCTGTGTGAGTGCATCACAAATGGAAAGTGTTGTTTAACAACAAAGAGCATTTTGAGACGATATTTATTGATAAGGCGGTAATTTTTGTTTTCTCTGCATCTGTGAATCATATGCAGTGTTATATTTATTGTTTTTTGGTTGCACATTAACCTTTTCTGTGTATCTGTGCTGCATAGGATGGGTACGTACATTTTGTTGTCCCAACAACACATGTGACTTTGTCTGATGATAAATTGGCATTGAACCATACTTACACGATATCAAATTTTAAGGTTCAATCTAATGTGTTGGCTTTTAGACCTTCGACGCATAAATTTTTGGTCAAGTTTACGGGAGAAACATCTGTATGTGATGATAACAAGAATGAGATACCGACCAAAACGCTGGTGTTTACAAAGTTTGCTAATATAATCACTGACAACTTTAACAAGGATGTGCTGATAGGTGAATTTTGTTTCGCGTGTTTTGTTTTGCAACCTTTATATTTTATATATGTTATTTTTCTCTTATGTTGATTTCTTGTTTTTTGTTTTCCAAGATGCAATTGGTATGGTTGAGTATTGGTTATTCATAAACACAGTCGGGTGGCAAAAAGCAGCAGCTTAATATGGTATTTGATCTCAACTTTAAGAGTCTGTCGGGTGTAGTGACTGCAAATGCACAATCTAATTACGTAGTTTTAAAAGATATCGAACCCACAAGGACTGATGGTCAAACTACTGTTATCTAGGGTTACTGTGTAAAACTAAGGCTAATTATAAAATTGGATGTAGGGATTTAGACGAGAATTAACTAAGATCTAATAATTGATAACGGGACACATGTATGTAATTTGTCGATTTCAGGGATTCAATAAACCATTGGCATAATTTTAAGTATTAAAACACTGTTTCAGTAGAAACTATTACTTTAAAAATCCTTGTCTCACACTTTCGTTCTATCGATTCAGGCCATATTATTAAACTCAAATGATCCCTTTCGCTGTGTCATTTAAAATTTAAAATTATTTTTTGAAAACAAATAGAGACCAATTAATTTTAATGCGCTCTCACTGTTTTTAAAATTAATGTTCAATCACCACTATCTAGTTAAAACCTCAAAATCTAGCTCTGTTGATTTTATCCTTAGTCTGTCTTTTACTTCCGTAACAAAACAATTTAATATCCAAATTGGAAATCAAAACTAGAAAAGCGTTTTTGTAAAATATTTATGCCAATTAATTACCGAATCCCTTCGGTTTAGGACTTCACATACCGATATCAGGGAATTTAGCCAAACATAATTTTATTGCGTGATAACATAGAATTAAAATATACATTCAATAAGACAGACATGGTAAAAATAAATAAACTATATTTAAAATTGGAACCTGGAATAAAACACTGAAGAATAATTGTGCAGTATGCTATCCTCCACAAACCGACAAGATTAACTTATGAATAAAATATCTTGAAGAAATAAAAATAAACCTAAACGAATTATGGAAGCTAGAGTAAAAATAAAGTTGCAATATTCCTCCGATATGAAGAAATATTGATTTAATGGTAATGGTTTTCTTTGCTTACGGAAATTCTAAACGAAACTGGAAAAATATCAAAAACTGTAAAATTTGGAAAATAATAACAATGTTGCAGTATGCAGAAAAATAAGAACTTTGGAGCAAGTGTGCGTGTACGTTCCACATTTTGGTAACTGTCTTCGTTTTATAGATTCTATATGTCGAGCAAAAGTAGGAACACTCCCTTAATATTCGTTCTTCAAGCGTGGAGAATTTTCAGCAAATCGTGCGTTTCATGGAGACTTTTCCGTAACTGATATATGCTTTGTGGAGAGTGTCATGCACTGTGGCGTGGGGAACGTATTTTCATTCTGTGCCGGTCGGGACAAGAAATATACCGAGGGGCACACTTTTGAACTTTGTGACGGGCGGCATGCGTCTGTGACGGGCGGCATGGCTTCTGATACACAATGCTTGCGTTTTTGCTGCTAAAGTGCCATTTCTTCTTCATTTCTTCAATATTCTTCTTCCTTTTCTCATGTAAGCTTTGCATAGACTAAATACCTGAAATATACTGCAAATACTATAAATAGAGACATAATGTGACATAATAAATGAAGAATCAGAAGCTTTATCTGTGTAAATCGGGCAGAAAATGCTATAACTTTTCGTGTTATCAAACTCCCATAAGCTTGAACCTTTGCTTGTGCTCAAGCAATATAGTCAGTATGAAAATTAATAGAGCACAAGTTAAATGAAAATACATGATGCAATTCAAATCATAAGACGTTACGCCAATGTTTTCGCGGGAACCTAAGCTCATCATAACACAAAAGATACAGTAATAACACTAAATGCCCCCTACCGTGCAGACCAATTCCAGTCATGTCATTATAGCTCACCCTAATTCTTTTCGCTAAATTTCACCCATTTTCATTCTAGCGCAATCACATTAAGCCCTTTATCTTTACACGCGCATAGTAGAGTAGCCGGTTAGTGACTATGATCCTTTAAGCACGAGGTTCTGGAACATATATGTGGTAACCTCCTTTAATTCACCCAATTTCAAGTTACAGGGGATCGGACCGTAGTCCTCCCTACCAAGTTCAGTATCATACACTTCTGAACCAACCGACAACGGGTTTCTATGTTATATTGTGTAGGTTCCGCATTTGTTGGATTAAGTGACCGGGTGAGGGTCGCCTAACTTAATTGGTGCATTCCCTATTTTCTAATAGTAGAGCATGTAACTTTTTAAATATTTGGGATCATTCACTTATATTCATCGACTCCCTATGTAGTTTGTGTTTCAGACGGTGCTGACTGCTAAATAAACTACCCGAGGTTGCTTTAAAACTAAAGTTTAAGGTTTCGGTATAAAGGGTACTGAAATCGATCTAGTGTAATTTGGGGATTTAGAGTGTTACGATGGTATCCATCGTGATTCTGTTTTACTCAAGGTTTCTCAT